ATACCGGAAGTGGGCATTCCAGTGCTGACACACTATGAAAAGTGGTGTCTGGGAGTCTCGGGTCAAGGAGGAGGGATCTCTATAATCTATACAGCTCAGCTTGGCCCTTTTACTAAGCTATCTTATATGGCTGCTTGGGAAGCTGAACTAGATGAAGTTGTCCCTATAGACAAATGGAAGCAGTACACCATGATTAAATATGGGACTGCGTAATATCTCCCTGTTGGAAGCGAACTACAACGTTTTTGCTAGATGGTATCTGACTCCAGTAAAGATAACTACCATATTCGCAGGGGCTAGCCCCCTATGCTTTAGAGGATGCAACCAACAGGGAACGATGACGCATGTTTGGTGGAACTGCCCAAAACTGCGTCCCTTCTGGAATCGCTTTTTTGCCCTGCTCTTTAGAATACTTCGGGTTTATATCCCGAGGGACCCCGAGTACTTGCTATTGAATAAACCAGTCAAAAGGCTCACTAAGGCGCAGGGCAAACTAGTATCCTTTTTCTTTCTAGCAGCTAAGTTATCAATTGCACGGTCTTGGAAAACCGAAAAAGTCCCATTCCCAATGGTACTATCTAAATTAAACTGGATTATGACACACGAGAAGTTATATAGTATATTACAAGACAGATATCATAACTTTCAATTGGTATGGGACCCATGGTTGATATATCTAAGAATTCTGAACCCTATCCATACACAGCCAGTAAATCAAGGCTAAATCGCGATTAGTATGCCAAGCAATCCTGGCCCGCAGGAGTCCCCATTATTATTATTGTTTTTTTTTGTTTGTTTTTTTTTTTCTCTCTCTCTCTTTTCCTTTTCTCTTCTCTATTAATAAATTAAGGTCTCCATTTTTTTTGAATACGCGGGCGAGCGAAATACTGAGCTCACCAGAAGTATCTATCATATGTAAAAATCAGTAAATAACAACAGTATCCTTACGGATAAGCTAGGAAATCTTGTCATATTGGCTCCCTGCTTGGAAGTAGATGCTCATTGGTTGGAATGATACCCAGTTAATGAGCTTATAATAGTATGGTTAAGCTTTAAAGGGGGGAGAGGGAATACTGTGGTGAGACTATAGTTTTTTCCCTCAATATGTTACTGTGTTACATATGATATTGGAATATAACGAAATGTTAATGTATAAGATGGAAACCAATAAAAAATTTGAAATACAGAACAAAAAGTTGTGGTAAAATACCTCTAATAATAATTTTTTTTTAATAAAAGTCTATAACTTCTGTTTATTATTTTGAGCTGTACCCACCATTGAAGTGTTGAGAAACACTGGTGTAAGGTGAGCACTTGAGTATACAGACAAGGAATGATCAACAGAATTAGCCTTGCACTATTTTCTTCCACTCAGGTGTCAGAAGTTAGTAGTGTAAACTTCTTAGCAGTTTAAATACACCTGAAAACTTTCTTTATAAGATAAAATACAATAAACTATGGAACTTTTACAACAAACTGTACTTGCTTCTATATAACCGCTTTACCCTTAGGCTGGGTTCACACTTGGGTGTTCTTAATATGCGTGTTTGACATGCGTTTCGGGCCGCGTTTATGAGGGCTATCCAGCTGTATCCTAATGGATACGCACGGAAAATATGCCCCAAAGAAGCTCCTGTACTTCTTTGGGCGCGTATTTCCTACGCACTGAAATACGCCCAGGTGGGAACCATGCCCATAGGAAATAATGGGATTTCACTTGCTGGGCGTTTTACAGAGCGTCGATCAGCGCTTTAAAACGCCCAGGTGTGAACCAGGCCTTAAAGAACACATGTGCCTAGACTATGGACATTTAAGTATTTCCATATTCCTTATTATGTATACATGTATCTTATTTGGGTATCACTCAGCTGAAGATCCTCAAATCATCTCTGAATTCATGCCGAGACTGTCCTTCCTTCATTGCTCCTCATGGTCTGTATGTGTGTGTTGTAAAGTAGCCACCACTCCAAGCTCGCTCCTGTGATGGACTACAATCTCACTTCAAATTAGTAAACTAAACATGAGATTGTAGTCCATCACAGGAGTGAGCTTGGAGCAGTGGCTACTTTACAACACACACATGGGGAACAAAAGTAGCCACCCTCCAGAAGGAAGGACAGTGTCAGCATGAATTCAGAGATGATTGGAGCATCTACAGCTGAGTGATACACAAATAAGATACTTTTCTGTTAATAGTTAAGTTACTTGAATGTATTTTTAAGATTTAACGCCTGAGTTTAGTGTCACTTAATATAAGCCATGATCTTTCTAGCTGTATGTATTGTAATTCATTCTCAAAGATCCTCAATAAAGTCTCTAAAGTTGGGTCTCAGTTTAGACACTTGCTGTCTTTCTACATCATTAGAGGGCTGGCAGGCTGCCAAGATTCTGTTATAGAAAAACAATGAAGATTTCAGTGCCTGTGTTGTGAACTTCAAAAATGTATTTCCCTACAATGAGGTGAATAAGGGTTTATTTGAAAATTCTTTTACTGCTTGTTCAGAATATGTAAATACTTTAATGTGTGTAGCCTGGACACAGGATCACTTTAAAACTTTATTTGGCTATACTTATGTTTTGGGTCACAGGAGTACTCTACATTTACTATTGTACTCCTGCGACCCAAAGTCAACAGATAGCAGGCTACAGCCAATCAGCTAAGAGCGCTAGAGCCGCGCCACAATAGAGAAGGATCCTAACAATATTGTTACAGCAGAAGCGATGACGGCGCAGCTGCCGCCAGATCGCTTCTACGGGCCAGTGAACGGGCCCCCCCTATGGTCCCGGGACCAGCTTCTTTGGTGTCGGCTAGGAAGCTTGGATGGGCAAACCTCCATTCGCCCATCCCCTCCCCACTCTATGGGACCGGGAGCGATGCAGATTGCATCACTTCCGGTCCCTGGGCTGTCAGTTCTGGGCTCCTGCAGCCCAGCTATAAGCTATTGAAGTGCCATCTGCACTTCAATAGCTTAGAGTGTAAAGGTGACACTGGGGGTTTTTTGGACCCCCAGCATCACCTTAAAGAGTACCCGTCACCACCATCTGCTTGTAAGCCCCCCTATCTGATAGCAATTAAAAGTAAAAAAAAAAAATGTAAAAAAAAAATTTTTTTTTTCCAATTATCAATAAAATAAATGTAAAAATAATATTTTTTTTAAAGTCTCCCGCGCGCATGAGTGTCTTCACGTAAACATGCGTCGGGTGCACCTACATACGCGCTACACATGTTGGGTATCGCTGCGCACGCCGGAGTGAGCAATAATTCTAGGGCTATTATTTCTGGGTATTTCTAATGACCTGTGGGGGCTTTTAAAGTGTCGTCTATGGACTTTTTGGGGTACTGAATTTTGTCGATGTTTCACGGACGCACACAATTTTTAACCTGGACATGTTGGGTATCAATTTACTCGTTATAACCTCATCTTTTATATTTTATTTAGAAAAATTGGTATTTTATTGTGTTTTGGGGCATTTAAGTAAATTTTTCACTAAAGTTTGGAGTTTGATAAGGAGTTGCGCTAATATCGTGCAACATAAAAATTTGCACTTGCCACCATTTTATTCTATAGGGTTTTGGCTTTCAGAAAATATATGTTCGGGGGTTTTAAGTAATTTTCAGACCAAAAAATGTGGAAAATAACATAGGTGCAAAAAAATTAAAAGGCCTCAGTCATTAAGGGGTTAAACAACTAAAGCAGGTAACACCCTCAGACTGTAATGTGCTTGTCTAGCTTTAGACCCTACTAGGGATGTGCGTGGGCTTGGTGTGAGCAGAGATCGCCCCATCCCATGGCAAAACTGTCAATGACACATCCACTTCCAATCAGCTGCGGCATTCTCCACCGGTTACATGTCATCTGATGCAGGGAATGCCTTGGCTGCAGCTGACTGGGATGGGTGGGGTGTCACTGACAACTTTGCGTGGCCTTGGGTGAACTTGGTTAACATCAAGCCCATGCACATCCCTATTTAAACAATCGATTCAAATGACATCCAAGCAGACTGAACTTTACACAATTATAAAAGGAGCTATAAAAGGACGATGGTAGAAATGTTACAGTAAAAACAACGCAAGTGACTAGTTTGATAACCTCATCTAAGAATACTAGTTGTCTGACGAGTTCGGTATGTTCGAAATCACTGGCCCGAGACAAGCATGCAGATAAGGGAAGTCAGAACTCCTGATCTGTATGCTTGTTCCTGATCTGTTCTTCAGAAACTATCCAAGCCACAGGATCAGCATAACAGTTGGCATTAAAACCACTGACAACAACTTCCATATTCTTTAGGTTACTATTTCCTTTTAAAAGAAGGCAATATGTGGCCATCTTTAAAGCAGCCCATTTTCTAGAATTAGCTACTCCCAGCTGACCACACAGCTCACTTTATTAGCCAAAAGGCAAGGCTACAAGGCAATCATGTACAAACTGTCTGAAAGAATGGAATGTTTACCATTTCAGCTAATCAGGTTGTTACCACTTTCATCACTTTTTATAATTAATATCAATTACCATAATCATAGGACATGGAAACCTGCAATCACACAAGGCATCTGAATAAAAAACAGAACAGCAGGCAATGTGTATATATTGAATGATACATGGGGATAGAGGGGAAGGATGACATGTCTGACTCCACAGCTGATATGTGAACAGTTTGTGGGTTTGTGAAAGCAATGGTATGAGGCAGCATGCAAATGGAGCTCCTCCTGCCAGTGAAAAATAGTTGGCGATGACAGCAGTCAGCTCTGTCATGTGACCAGGCTGTCAGTGCAGGTAAGCATCCCTACAGGGCACAGGATGTCTGCACACACCACAGCCATGGTATAAGGACACAGGAAGGTCCTTGGGCCACAGCCACCTGAACACAGAGTCAGGAGCTGAGGGAACACAATGCGGGAACTTCTGAGGTGAAGGCAGAAGGTCAGGACCTGAATGAAGGTAAGGGAGTGCCCTATAAGCCGGGAGCGGACAAACACCTGCCTTCCAGCCAGGCATTACCTTTCGCTTTGCAGTCCGCGCAGAACTTGTTCTCCTCCCGCAGCAGCAGCTCAGACAGTACGGCCTGGTACCGCTCCACGTCCCGAACCGACTTCCCGGTCATCTTCCCGGGAGACAGTAAGATGGCTTCCCCGTGCTACGGCTCAGTTCCTGTTTCCGGTGTTGCGAAATCCACTCCCACCTTTCCCCTGCTGCGGGCCTACGTCACTCGACCCCGCCCATCGCCGTGCCCATATACAGCACGGTCACAGGAGAAGAAAAGGTCACGCCCACAAGGGAAAAAATTATGAATGGGCATTGACGTCACCTAGCAACCTGGACGGCACAGGCTAGAATGATAGCTGGGAGACAGACGTTCTCACTAATGGGTCTGTTCATTGGTAGTCAGCTGGCATCTCTCTTCAACTGAGAATGATGCTATTTACATGGCATGTTAGTGTATAGAATATCATCCATTGAAATATAGCTGTGTATTTCAGACCCATTTTATGACCTTGTATATAATGCATGGTTGCCAACCAAGTATTACTGAAAGCAGAACTAAAGCCAAAGCTTTTTCTTTTAATGTAATGGTGGATACAGTAAGGGAGGGTAATAATGACTGTCAGTTTTTTCTGCCATCTGTGTCCTATTAGGGACATTTCCCTTCACTACGGTACCTGTGTAATAGCCATAAGAGGAAATCTCTTTTTCTAAAAGTGGAGTGGACCGAATCAATCAACTAATCAGCTTCTATCTTTTATTTTCAGAGCTTAACTGAACAAACTGAGGGCAGAAGCTGATTGGCTACTATGCACAGCTGCTCTAGAATAGTTTACTAAAAGTTACTTGTTTCTACTATTCAATATATGGACTTTCCAGTACAACACCGTGTGTTTACTGTCTATTTTAAAGTACACATTTTCTCAAGTGGGACTGCACTTGGTATCCAACAGACCCACCTGTGTGGAGGCACTGGAGCTTGTAAGAGATTCCATCCTGTTCTCACAGATAAAGTAAAAGCTCTGCTTTCTAAGGCTCCATTCACACAGCAGCAGTTGTCTGCGCGTATTCAGCAGTCTGTATGAATACGAATACACGCTAAGCCACTCTAAACATAAAAAAATGCACTTTAATGTGACTTTTGCGGCAGCCGTGCAGTACAAAACGCGCAAAATAGTCCAATAGTGATTTTTTGATGGGTTTTGCACGTTTGTGGGCTATAGTAATAGCAGCAAACATGCAGGATCCGTGCAGATGAAAGATTTTAGCGTTTGCGTGCCGCGCAGTCTTCCGCACGGAAAACCCAGCGTTGAAATGCAACGCTATAAGTGAATTAAGCCTCATACTACAAAGGGGGTGCCAAGTAAAAAGAGGGCATTCTACAGAGTGCAAGGTCCACTTTAACTTACTGCCTGTCTTTTCTTTTCATTCCCTAATAAACACTCAGTGATCAAGACAGCAAAGATTGAATGTGTGGGTTGTGGGGCAGGTAAATATACATTTGTTTCTTCGCAGGGAAGCCTTTTTCAGCTTTTTGCGTTAGCGACAGTGTAACTTTACATATTTCCCCTCCCTTTCTGTCCTGCTACACCAGGGGTTTGCAACTCCGGCCCTCCAGCTGTGTTTCAACTACAAATCCCAACATGGCTCTGCTTCTGGGAGTCATACCTGTAACTGCCAGTCTTGCAATGCCTCATGGGACTTTTAGTTCTACAACAGCCGGAGTTGCCCACCCCTGTGCTACACAATATTGTCTCCAGAACAAAAACAGTAAAACAAAAACTGGAATTGATCTCAAAATGTGAAGATTTGCTACGTTATGAAGAACATCCAGAAATGGTATCATGAAAAAAAATGTACATTTTGTTTGAAATAATAAATATTGAAAAATAGCAGCACACTTACACCTAGTATATGAGGGTGACTAGACACATCTGTGCCTACAGCCTGATGTGTGTCTGCTGTGTGAGATCTAAGGCGCTGTCTATGACTAGTCAGGAGATTACGAGGGAGTTTTGGTGATGACATTACTGTGCTGCTCCCTGTTCTCCTTTGTGAAGCAGCATGTGGAGGCTTGAAGAGTCTAACTAAGGGCCTGGAAGCAAAAAGGAAGGGGGGACCATACCAAATGCACAAAACGTTAAAGGGCTATTCGCTATAGGGTGAAGAGTTTGGAGAAGGCAGGAGAAGTGAACAATCTAGGACATAGCTGATGTGGAAACATTCTCCAATTCAGCTCACTTTCCAGTTCAGCTATGTTGTCCTAGATTGTTCACCACTCCTGCCTTCTCCAAACTCGCCCCTCTTTAGTGAATCGCCCTGTAAATAAACAGATCATTTTAGCAGCACAGTGAACATCACTAAAACCAGTAGGGGATGGGCAGACGCTAAAGAGGACACCTACGGGAACCAGAATTTTGGTGGCTATTGCAAGCACTCCCTTGTGAGCCATTAGGAAACCACTGCTGGTTTGCAGGAAATGATGGGGTCTTACTCTAAAGAAGGTAAAGGTAACTGCGCAAAGCACGACACAAAATATTTGTAAATTTTTTTTTTACACTTGCCTAGATTCTGATTTTGCCTGTTCAATAGGAATGGATGGGCTGTAATATTCTGGAAATAATCACTGTTCATCACTGTTATGTTAGCTGAAGAGACATGAATTTACTGGCAAAATGGCTTCAGTGGTCGGTGTATCTTTTTAATACCTTTGTTTGTATGGGTAACACACAAAAGCACAATGGGGGGAATTGATAAAAGTTCATAAAAACTGGAGCAGACAAAATCTGGAGCAGTTGTGCATGGCGATCAATAAGCTTCTCTGTTTCATTTATAAAGCTTAACTGAACAAACTGAAGAGAGAAGCTGATTGGTTGTCATGGGCAACTATTCCTGGTTATCTCTGCTCCAGTTTTTATGAATTCCCCCCAAAATGCTTTATCCCTTCCAATGTGCTCTTGTGATTCAAATCTGAGGCCGTTGCAACTATGTAAATGGCAGCAAGCTACGTTGCTAAAACAATATTTTAAACCTGATGGGGCAAACATGAGTAAGAAAATATATAATTATCTAGAAAAATGCTAAAGCATTCAGTTAACTAGAACTAGATAATAAAACAGAGTCAAGGTATCAGAAATTAGTTTGCTGTAGTTCCCCAAAGTCACCACTAGATGCCCCAGTAGCCTAGATGTAAGTATTAGAAGCTCTTTAACCCTTTTGCTGCCATAGCCGTTTTTGTGTGTCTGTTTTTTTGCACAAATGTTAAAATACACATTTTAAACCCGAAGATTACTTAAAACTCCCCAGAATTATATATCTCCTGAAAGCAGAGACCCTGTAGAATAAAATGGTGGCAGTTGCAATTTTTATGTTGCACAACACCACAATATAAGTTTTTTATAAGCTTAAAAGTTTTTTGCACCTGCAAAATGGTGAAAAACTATGCTACCCATGATCTATGTCTATAGGCAGCACTTTAAAAGCCCTTACAGGTCATCAATTTAGAGTTAAAGGAGAACTATGAGGTGAGTGCTTTTCACGCACCTCATAGTTCTAGACGACCTGTGACAATGAGACTGTCACTGGTCGGCACAGTAGATCGGGAGGTGAGCGAACATATACCGGCGTTCGCTCACCTCTCGATCCTGTCACGGCTCTCTGCCGTGACAGGGGAGGGGCTGGATTCCCCCCTCCCCGCTCCTATCCGCGAGCGCTGACTGGCGGAACGGACGGGGGAGGGGGCGGGTACAGCTGGCTCTGCCTCTAGATAGGCAGAGCCAGCTGTTTCTCACGCAGCTGGGCGGATCCCAAAACAACTGTCGGGATCCGCTTTAGCTGCGGCGTCTCAGTATACAACGAGCAGCTGCTCGCGGTATACTGCGGCGTCTCAGTATACAGCTCGCTACAGCTCGCTACAGCTCGCTGTATACTGAGCCTAGGGTGACGGGAGGACGCTAGTTTGTGTCCTCCCGTTACCCTAAGAAGAACTATGGGGAAAAGACTTAACCCCATAGTTCTCCTTTAACTGTGAAGAATGGCCTTGGAATTATTGCACTCACTCTGGCGTATGCAGCAATACCTGACATGCGTGATGCAATCATCTGTTTCATATGTAGGCACCCAACGTCTGTTTGTGCTAGTGTGCACACGTGGGCGGGGGACTTTAAAAAAAATTTGGGGGTGTTGTTACAAGCCCCCAAGTGTGATAGCACTTTGGTGGTGACATGCTCTCTTTAAGGAGACATTAGGAGTTCATTAGACCCCTAATGTCATTTTTGAAGCCAATTGAAGCTGATTAAGCACAGATCAGAAACGGAAAGTGATGGCATCATCGTTGCTTTCTGGTTCATTAAGCAGGGAGATCAGCAAATGGATTTTCACTGTCCCCCCCTGTATTCAGCATCACCCACCTTGCTATTCCCAGGCTCAAATGAGGGGCAGTGGAACCCAAGAAACATGGCTGGAGGGAGGGGGGTGTTGGGTGGGGAAACACACATTTCAGAGCCCATGGAAGTGATTGGCATGGGTGGGAAATCACTAGAAATGGCCCAGCAATACCTTAATTTTGATCTGGTTCCCAGGACATTACCAGAATAATTTACAACTCAATTTCTATTACAGAGAAAGTAAACAAAGCGCAGTGTACATGACATCCACTGGGAGGAAGGAGGTGCATGGAGTTGGACAAAGGATTACTGGTGGAAAAAACATACTGTTCGACCACTCTGTGCCCTCTCTGCACCTGGATCCCACCTATCCAACATTCCAGTGACACTACAATGCACCTGACTCCCACCTGCAGGCACTGTTATTGTCACAGGAATGGTGGATAGGTGGGAGCAAGGTCCACTGTCAATGTCACTGTACTGGGGGATAGGTGGGAGCAGTGCTTTTTTTCTGGGCAAAAAGGTCCCACTGTACTCACTGTGGCAACCATCTTTGTTATGGGCAGGGACGCACGCATCCCCGCTGCCACAACCAAGATGGCTGCTGATAATAAACCTCAGGGTCAGTTGTGGCCATTTTGGTCGTGGTAGCGGGGACGCAATGAGAATGCGCAAGATGGCTGCCGGTAATGAGGTTTACTTTTGGTGGCCATCTTTTTGGTGGTAAACAGCGTCATCACCCCGGCGCCATGTCTGTACACTTGCTCTACGGACACTTGCACATTATCTGTACGGCAAGTGTAAGGGTTG